TAAGCGATGTATAGACGATGGATGGATGGTTTGCACTCGTGTCACTACACTGTGTAGCTTTACTTGCAGCAGATGATTTAATTCTCTCCTTGTTTCTAGGCTCCCAGTAGAAGTAGAGCTTTACATAGAGGCTTCTAGTTGACGTAGAGCTGCAAAGAGAAGCACAGCTTTAAAAAAAAAGAGGCTAAACTGTGAGCTTCCTGTTGTCTTCCTTCAGGACACAATAGATGAAACTCACAACCTGCACAAGTCCTTGCTTTCCTCATATACTTGCTTTGTCTGCAGACTGACTGTATTCCTCAGCGCTCGGGCACAGTATGTGTGAAACCAGCGAGCTCACAGTCATCATTAACACAGTACATCTGCATATTCCCTCCCTTTTCTTGCTTTATTATTTTTTATTTTACAGTACAGTCACTTTAAGCTTAAGTAGCCCCGGGAAAGACAATACCAGCCGCTCTTCAATTATTTATTCTCGCATCACCCCAAAAAGATGACAAATGCTAATTCTGGTCCATTCCCCAGCTGGGCATCCAAGTGCTCATTAGTTTTAAAGAAGGTTAATCCATTTAGGTTTTGCATATTGATATGCCAATTATGTCTAATCGTGGAAAAGGCATCCGTCAAGGTAATAGTGCATAAACACATGAAGGAACATTAGGGAGAAGTCAACGTTATAATAAAGTAGGTGTTAATTGGTAAGGGGAGGACTGTCGGCTAACTCATGTGTGTAATGTACAGCCGGGTGAGGAGGAGGAGGAGGGTGGAGGCTTCATCAGATATCTCCCCCTCCTCCGAACCAACCACATGAAAAAAAAAAAAACATGTCATTTGCAAACCCCACGCTGTGAGCTCGACTGAACCGGAGGGTCGCTGGGCAGGAAAGGAAGATGCAGCAGAGGAGAATGTTGGACGGAGATTTTTCTCCTAAAGTCAATTAAATGCCACTGAAATAGCAGTAATGTGTATTCTGGATGCATAAACTTCACATTCTCAGCTACATTTAGCTCAAATTCTCTCACAGTTTGCTTTACTTCACTTATTCTGATATCAAATGGTTCCCAATTAAAACACAATAAAAACATCCTGAGTGAGAACTGTGAGAATCTGGAAGCAAAGAAGTGACGCTTTTACCAGATTTAAACACAGTAAAACAGAGATTTCTTCAGCAAACAATGGTACAAATACCGTTAACGATACTGTAATTGAACCAGTACGGGGAGGATCTGTAAAAATAGCAGCTGAAAACATTATTTACTCTTTTTAAATCTTTCTTTACACCACTTTTTTCTTTTAAAATAACACCAGATATTTGTATTTATTTGACATTTTTTAGCTGATTTAATAATTTTTTAGTCAAGCATTATTACACAAGAAATACTACTGATATTACTATTAATGTTATGTACAGTTTTGCTTCTACATTCAACATTTAAATTAATTTGTCTGTGATTTATTTATTTTACCAGATATGATCTGTTATTTAACAAAACAGGGAACATCTATAAAACACTAAAATAATTTAGAAATTTTAATCCTTCATATACATACATTTTTGTTTTAAAAAACCAGCAATCATCTGTAAAATAAGACCATTTGGGTGATTTAAATATTGTACAAATGGTTTAATTTTAGGTTCTATCGTTGTAAAAGCAGTTATCATGTAACTTAAAACTACAAATTTCTGCGATTTCACCTTAAAATAATAAAATTTTTCAGAAAATACTGTGAAAAACTGTTTGGAACTGTTTGAAAAATATAGAATTTGTAATATTGTAGCTTAGCTGTGACTAAATACAACCTTACATTAGAAAAATTTTGTCTTTTTTAAATTAATAACATGTTTATGCTCATATTTATTAAAGAAACATACAAATTTAAGTGTTTTGAATCAGAGCTGTTTCAATGACTACAAAGGAGTAACTCCCAAAAAAAAGAACCACCTGGAAAACAAAATAAAAAAATCAGTATTGTTTACTGTGGTGATAGAGAACCAGCTTGAAACTTGTATTTGTAAATTACTGTTTTCTAATCACAAACTACTAATTTTATGTTGTTACACACTTCATCTGCTGACAGTAAATCTGGTTAAAATGAGGATCGATTTGACAAGATGACAGGAGATCGTCTCTTGTCTAAAAGGAACCAAAAAAAAAAAAAAAGACTCAAGACAAAAGAAATGTTTGCTGTCCTCCAACCACTCTGAAGACTTTTCTACTTTATTGTAAACAGGTGGAGCAATAACATCTTTATTTCAGCCAATTCATTCCTGTGGAATATTTGCCACTGAAACAAAATAACACCATTACTGATGAGGTGTTCAGTGAAGTGAGGCAGAAGTGTTCAGGTGTGTCTGAGCATGAAGGGCTGCGGTTTACAGATGTGACAGTAAATCTTCCCTCTACCTGCTGGAGTCACAGGCTCTAGTCAGGCGCTACGTCACGCTCTCGTCTCATTGGCTGCTGGCGGCGAGCGCTGCGCCCAGAGTGTCGACGAAGCGATGGACGTCGCTGAAGGAGTTGTAGAGCGGCACCGGAGCGACTCGCAGCACGCTGGGCTCCCTCATGTCGCACTGGAGGAACAAGGAAAACATGTTCTGAAGGGCTCATGTCAGACAGAGACGCAGGAAACCTCCACTGGCATCAGTCTGGAGTCACAGTTTTTAGCTTAAAGTATAAAATCCTGGTGTTTGTCTGCGTCTAAACAACATGCACGATGACTAGTCAAGCATCATTATTACTTCTATATACATTATTTCTAGACATTTTCCAACACTAGGACACGTGTTTTTCTGAGCCCAAACATGACTTTCTGTTCGTTACCAGACCTCGGTGAGTCTGCAGCTACCACCAACAGACCAAACAGTAGTTTTGTTGCAGTGGAATTTCCTAAATCAGAGGATCACATAAACGCAGAAGGGATGGAAATGACCAAAACTCTGGCAACTGGGCGCTCCATCATGTCCACTCACGAGTTTTACTCTGTAATCGTCACTCTCCAGCCGCCCTGTTTGCCAGATTCAGCTCATCCTGTTTAACTTCTTTGAGTTGAAAGGTCGCCGTTTTACAAGATTTAGCACTTTTAGGTAGCACTGCAAGAGCGGCAGGAGCACTGGGAGCAGAGCACCACTGCACAGAGAGTATTTCAAAGGCGATGGCAGCCACAATCAAAACTTAAATGCTTATCGAATTTAATCAAGAAACACCAATTTTTCCCAAATATCTACTAAAATTGGTGCTTAACCTGATCAAAAATGAAATAAAACTTGATAATTTATTCTTTGTCTTGGAAATTCAACTATTCAGGTACATTTTTTTAAATCAGTCCTTTTTTCCTTCATGTTGGGTAAATAATCCAAACTTTGATGTTTTTTTATCTTAATGTCGTTGTCTGACTTTGACTGATGTAGAAAGTTAGCATCAACAAGGATCACACACATTATCCCCTCAGAGAGAAAAAAAAAAACACTTTTCTTTTGTGCATCAATCAGGTTTGACGTTAAAGAACATTTTAAATTCACTGAGAGGATGTTACCTGATCAGAAATTTGCCTAACATGTGTGCACAGTGTACTTTTAATCAAATAGGGTGACTATTTTGCTAAATAAACACCTAAAAAGTACAAACTAATGTTTTTAATGGACTGTTTATTTTGTGTTTCACCCATATTTTTGTAATTCCATCTCTGTTTTCCACCAGTCAGGTAGTTCTGTTACCTTTCTGCTGCCATTTATAATCAAAACGTTCTCCCACTGGACCAACAAAAATCAAAAACTTATTCATATTTGTCTCAGTGCTGCTCTGCTCCCAGTGCTCCTGTAACACTTCATAAGTAAACAGCTCCACCAGTCAAGAGCTGAACCTCCAGAACTGAGTCTATAAGTGGGAGAGTTTCAGTGCTTTAGGTGAACAGGACAACTCTGGATTCATGTCATCCGCTACTCACAGCGACGCCCCTCTTCTCCAGCTCCGCAAAAACTCTGCTGATGGGGATGGAGAAGGACAGCGAGAGCTGGCAGCCCCTCTGCTGAGGGTCCGACGGCGTCATGATGTGGACGTAAGGTTTGTGGGGTCTGGCCGGGTCCTCGCTGTAGTAGTGTTGGATCAGAAACTCCAGGTAACCCGTCAGCAGGAGGGACTTCCTGCGCAGGGCCTGCATGCTGGTCTGGTTAAACACCTGCAAGACAGCGGATTTCTCTTCATGTTGATAGTGTTTGAGTGGAAACTAAGTTGGACTGTGTTCGACTAAAAGATTAGATATGAATTAGCAAGGGGGACGACTCCTCATTTTTTAAGCTAAATAAAAATGTTTTGCTGCAATATTTAATCTCAAATCATCACATTTTTTTTAAACAATTTCTTCTCAACCGTCTGTGATTTGCCTGAAAATGTTTAATGATAAACTTTGGATGTTTCTAAAGATATTTGGGGACAGTTTAGCTGAATGTATTTCACATCTACATGGATTTTTCTTGTCTGTCTTCTTGCCTGTTGACCCACTTTCGTCACATTTTTGACAACAGTTGAAGACCTTATTAATTAAAGATAAAAGTCTGACATTTTCACTGTTTCTCATCAAGTCATTGATTCAGAATCTGGACAAATGCAAATAAACTGAGCTGAAATTGATTAAAAAAATGAAACCATCATGAAAATCCAATCTTTCAGTAGAAACTAATAAAGAAATTAACCACGCAGACGTCAACTCGGGCTATTTTAGGACCCACATGTAGCTGCGTGTCACAATCATACAGAAAAAAATCCAAGATATTAAAATTAAAATCACTTCATCTCGCTTGAAATTCACCAAAAACAAAGCAATCGCTTTAACGAGATTCATTTTTGTCGCGTTGCGTCACTACTGGCTCGATGCTTGTGCCGAATTTGATGTCATTTATAGAATCTCATTAAACCGATTGCTTTCTTTTTGGTGAATTTTAATCAAGATGAAATGATTTTGATGAAATATCTTGACTTTTTTTCTGTATTACTGTGACATGCATGTAAATAATATAACATCTGGCAAATATTTAAACATCTTAAGTATGTAGAGTCGCCTTTCTTTTCCAGTTTACAGGACACTTGGGGGGGAAAAAATTCTACATGTTAATTGAGTTTTTGTTTTTCTTCAAAGTTTGTAAAATAAATAATCAAGTTTTCTTTTTAACCATCTAATTGCTCATGTTTTTTTTATAGTCACGCTGCTTCCATAGAGGTGCAGAACTTTTCTATTAACTGCTCATTGTTCAGAGAAATCCTAAAACTTTGCTCCGCTTCACTGCAGTACCTCCAGACTGGCCTGCAGGGGGCAGACCAGCAAGATGGGCTGGTTGGACAGCCTGAAGCCGCTCACTCCGGGCTGCAGCTCCAACACTGAGAACACAAAACCACCACGAGAGAGGTTAAAAACGCCAAGAGCCTGTTTGTGATTCATTTATCTGCAGCGTAAATCTGTGTGTGACACAGAGAGAGAGAGCTGCGATACCAAATACGACCACAAGATGGGAGCAGAGGGCAACAAAAAACACAAGACTGACTTCAGAAGAGTCGTCTTTACCGTTACTCATCTGGAACCGAGACTTCAGATCGTGTCCCCACCATCCCATGAGCCTGAAGGAGACGATAACAACCAGTTCTACTTTATTTAGTCATCAGTTTGAGAAAAATACCCGAAAAACTCTTTGAAATTAAGACAAAACTGAGATCTGAGTTTGAAAAGTAAGGTCTTCTATCAAGGGAAATCTAATTTTTCCTTTAAAAGTAGCTTTAAAAACACTTGTTTTGCCCTCTTGTTAGATTTTATGTGCTGCTCACGCTGGTTTGATTGTATCCGTGTGCTTCTCATGGACAAACGCTCCGGCGAGACCACCAGCACCTGAGTTTATATACTGCAAAAAAGAAAAAAATTAGGTCATTCACAGTTTGTTCCATCTGATTTCTAAACATCCGGCTTGGATTCAGTTTGCAGACCTTGTAGGAGCACCAGCAGGCGAAGTCCACGCCCCAGTCATGCAGCTTTAACTCGACGTTTCCGGCAGCGTGGGCGCAATCGAAGCCGACGAAACAGCCCTCGAAGAAAAGCAGAGAGAGGATGAACTCGGTCCTGAAGCTGCCTGAACTGTGCACAGCGAGGAGTGATGACAACGATAAAGGCGACGGGTGCACATATATCAACATTTGGCTCCTACAAGTGCTTTGATGCAAATAAAAAAAGTGGGAAAAAAGTGCAGTTAAACACTAAAAGTTATCATGAAAATGTGCATTTAATCCTTTTTTTTTGCTTTTCTGTTTAAAACACGTTTTAGAAACTGTTTCTGTAACTTTCATATCTCAAAAAATTAGAACATCACCTACAAGTTTTAGATTTTACAAATGAGTGATTTATGAAAGTAGAAATTTAATATTTTTTAGATTCATGCCATGTAAAGTGAAATACCTGAAGTCTGTTTTTTTGTTCTAATGTTGTTGATTATGGCCAATAAGCTCAAGAAAATCTGACATCCGGCATCTCAAACCGAGTTTTAAGTGTATACATAAACACACGTTTCCCAAGTTGGACTTTTCTGTATCGTAAATCCTTTGTTGATTGATTTTAGGAGCAAATCTAATATTTTACAGAACTGGATTTCAGATTTTATGATTGAATTAAAACAAAAAAAAAAAAGTCTACAATACTAAATTTGTACTTTTTTATTCCAACCAAGACCAGAAAATATGAAACTTGTTCAAGATGTTCTAGGATTTACAAAAGTAGAACATCTTCTGAGGATGTTGTAGAACTTTCTTCTATAAAATATCCCCAAAATGTCACAGAACTTTATCCTGTCTTGTAGAAGAACATCCTGAAAACATTACCAGAACTTTCTCTGAACATTTTCAGAACAAAAATTATCATTCCAGCTCCTCGACAAGAACTTCAAGACGGCAGAAAGATGACACCCGTTGTCCTCCGAGTTAAACCAATCAGAGTTAAGTCCCACCCAGCAGGTTTTTAGAAGTTCATCCCCTATAAACGGCCCTGAAGCAGGTTCTAGAGGGGCGGTTCTGGAGGTTCTAACACGCACAAAGGTTCACCTGTACACTCCTCCAGTGGAAAACAGCTTTTTGTTTACTGGCCATAAAAACTACGACATGAAACCAGAAGATGCAGCAATAACAGAAAACCCTGTCCTATGTTCTAATCAGCTGTGTTTCAGGTTCTTCTCGGTACCTTCCTCTGGCCGGCCACGGTGATGGCGGCCATGTCGAACAGCTGGCCGGTGTAATACTGGACGCCGCTCAACATCACCACGGCGATGGAGTCGCCCTCCTTCTCGATCACGTCCAGGATGTCCTCGGTTCTCAGAGTTTCCTCCCCCTGACAGGACGGGAGGCAGAGATTCACATTCATCAGACATGTTCACTGTGGAGGAATGAGTTCTAGACGACAGGAAAGTGAAAACACTCAGACAGGCAGGTGAAACGAACAAAAAGAAAACTTTAGTCAGAACTTTTAGTCCCTCAAACCTTGACTGGTCGAGGCTGATGGCTGCCTGGATCTGTCGGAGGTTTTTGTTTTGTTTCCCACCGTCGCCGACTGTTTGCTCAAAGGGAATCCAAAGGCAACTTTCAATTGTATTGAAGATTGACACATCGTTTTGAAAGTACCATGTTTTGATTGATTTGATCCCAATTTCTTTCTTTGCTTTTCTGCAAAAACTGAGAAGTAAATGGTGATTTCTTCACAGCATTCTAATGTTCTGAATTCCTGTTTTCGTGGGTTTTATGAGCTGGAAGCCCAAATCATGTAAAAAATAAACAAATAAATCCTTGAAATCATTTAAATTGTGGGCCCTGAATCTACAAAAGTTTAACTTTTTGAATCAAATTATGGAAAATAAACAACTTTTCCATGGTATTCTAATTTTTTGGAAAGGGTCTGTGTGTTGTGAATTGGCGCGACAGAAATAAACCTGAATCAAATTGAGTAGAGAAAACAGAAGACGGCTGAATGTCCAGGAATAAACCCAAACTAAAAGTCAAAATGAAATCTAAATGCACGAATCCAAAGCCAATAAAACTTTACAAAACACAGTTCTCACAGAAATGTTTGCGTGTTTTTATATCTTTTGTCATAACTTAATGTATGTTTCAATTAAAAATGATTAAAATAAGATGTTGAAAAGGGAAAGTTTGATTCATGTTTGGGTAAAAAGTGGAACGTTTTTGTGTCTAGCATTTGTCAAAGTGCCTTTAAATGGACAGTTTGATGGTCTTTGGACCCGTCTGTCAGCTGAGACTAGCTGCAGAGGATTACTGTTTGTCCAATAACTTTATTGAAAAACTTAAAAGACGACTCAACGCTGTGCATTTGAAACTTCTGCTGTACATCCACGAGTAACTCAGACGATACTGTCGAGGAGAATCAAAAAGAGGAGGGAAACCGAGACAAAGGGAGGAAGTAAAAACACACAAAGGCCAGCAATTTCAAAATAAAAGTGGGCGACACAGGGGAAGGAATCTAACAAAATAAAACCAAACCGCCCCGACAGTGAAGTGTAGAAGAGGCTTACCGGTCTGGGCGACAGCAGCAACATGCTCTGCTCGGGGTCGAATCCTCGGAGGCGGATCTGAGACTCGACGGCGTACTGAGGAGACAAGTCAGAAAAACACCAACGACAGAGAACAACTTTAAGGCTTTTTAAAGAAGCCTGTAACGAAATGGAAAACCTTATTTTGTAAAAGGAGAATCTCCCACAAGATTGACCTGAAAGTTTACAGATTTAAAGACCTTTTACTGCTTCGTTTATCGTCTCTCCTGGTTTATCATCTGAACATGTAGTGCATCTAAAAGTCCAATTTAATTCACAATCTGATTCCACGATCATGAGATGGATCTTTAGGTTTAATATAGATTTGTTTTTCAACCTCAAAATGAAAGAAAAACAACTTTCTTTCCATTTTTATGACCAAGTAGCTCATAAAAAAAAGTCTTCTCCGTGTTTTGTTTTGGCATTTTTGTCACACGTAAGTAAATCTAAATAAAAAACATCACAAGCAGACTTCTGTTTTGTTAATTTGTGATTAAAGATTTTTCATGACGGCTTGATTTTTTTAATTTACTTGTCCAATATTGCAGAAACAAGAGTGAACGTTTCAGGCTTTTAACTTTAATATTTGCTGAGATATTGTTCTTCAAACAGCCTCAGTGTCTATAAACATCCATATTTTATGCTTCATCATGTAAGAATTTCAGACAAGTCAGACGTGTTCCAGCACAAACTGATCTACAGCTGTGATGATATGAGACGGAATCACTCTTATGTTTTGATTTCTGTTTATATTTTGAAAAATAGAGATATATTCGCCATAAATTGAAGCAAAAAAGCACAGACTGGAGCATAAAATTCACTGGAATGCAGGAATTTAAGTGTTTAATCCTGTTGAGCGCTGAAAACAATCTTCTGACAACTTCAGTCCGTGTCCATGCAGCTGCCGTTTGTCTATTTGCACTTTCTTCTCCGGTTTCATCACATTTCTTTGTGCTGAAAACTCCTTTGTTGCCTTCAAGTTTTAAACGTGCACCAGGAGTTCAACAATCAGGCATTTGTGGGTGATTTAAGCGCAAAAATGCAAACAAATCCCAGCAGCAAACTGAGGTTTTTATGTGGATGTAACTCACGTGATCCGAAGGGAAAGCTTTGTCCTCCAGAAGGATTTTGTGTCGCGCTGCGGTGGGTTTGTAGAAGGCAAGCTGCAGAACAAACAAAATACAGCATGAAATGACTGTGAGTGAATCTCTGCTGCTCTGTTTTGTCATTCCAGGCAGAATACGGTGCATTGGCTTCGCTCACAGGTGTTTTTCAAAGCACACGAAGACGACGTAAAAACAGAAAACAGATATTTAGCTGTGTTTTAAATGAGCTAAACATGAGTGTGCTTTACCATGAGAAGGTGTAAATTAACAGTCAGGCCGTTCATCAGAGCCACTTCTTCAGTTTTAGCTCCTGAAAGACACAATAAAAACACCATGATTGATGCATTTCATATGACAATCAGGTAAACCCACTTGATTGACTTGATACCTTCAAAAAATAAAGAAAAAATAAGAAAAAAATGTTAAAAATAAACCTCTGATCGTAGCCAGAAAAGGTAAAAACACTCCATGAACATCCCAAATTTGGTTCAGGAGAAATACTCATTAAATAACTTTATTTTATAGGTTCTTATTTAACCTCTTAAGACCCGAGCTCTTGTTTAATATGCATGTTTTAATTTTTTAAAAAATAAAACAAATTAGGAAAATAAAAATAGATGAAAAAAAATATTGATATAAAAAATGTGTTTTAAAAAACATTAAAATAATAAATAACACTAACTACTGTGGTAATATAACCCTAAAGCTGACGTCCATGCATGTGGACGCCACAGAGGTTAAAAATTAACAAGAACAAACCTTTTGCACAAACCAGATTTTGCAAAATTTCCCACAATTCCCCCGATTATCGCAGTCAGAAACAGAAAGAATAGAAAGGAAGCGTCGGATTTGCGACCTTTTCACGGTAAACTTCACCGAGTTCAATATTAAAATCATGAACATTCATTAAACAGGAACAGGGAAATAAAAACAGTGTCTTCGTCTATTCGTTAGGGTTCAATCAGTCCACTAATGTGAAATGCCACCTTTTAATTTCGTGACAAAATACACCATAGTGGATGTACAGACCTACTGGTAAGGGATTAATATTGTGGCTTCACTGTTAAATCACCCTTTCATTGCTAAATTACATTTTTTGATAAACATGTAGGCGACAGTATGTATGCGCCTAAAGTTTTCAGGTCGGAGTTGTTTGTCTTCATGGAATATTAAAAGAGCTTCATTTCTTTTGGATTTCATTGCCAAGATATTCACCAAATGCCAATGCAACTCATTAAAATCATGAAGTCTTGTGTGAAAACTAGTCAAAAATAAACACCAAACGAATTCTGTAAAAACCAATAAATTCTGATGAACCAGCAGTCACAAGACAGACGATGCTGTTGGGAGACATTCAAACATTTTTTAGATTTCATGTGCAGGGAGGAGAGAAAAAAACTGAGATAAAAGCATAAATAGTTGAATATCTGTCAACATTTAGTGTGGGGTCATGTGTGTGTACCTCCACATGGACTTCAGACTCTCCAAAACACTCCTAGATATGAAAGTTCACTGACCCCCAGCGTAGAAAAATAATGAATGAAGTTGCGAAACTGCTGCTGTTAGAAAGAGAAACCGACAAAACACACTCTGCAGGTGGAAGTAAAACAACCTGGAGACGGGATGAGAGGCTTTCTTGCAGGACTTTTCTTGTTTTTTTCTCATTTAGGCATAAAATGGACGCAAATCTGTTGTTGTTGCATCAAATCTGGTTGCACTTATTCAAGCTATGATGAAGTGTTTTGATCAGGCAGACGTGAAAATGTCCGTTTGTCCGTTACTTGTGGAGGTTTTTCAGCTGGAAATTAAAAGGTTGACGCCTTTTTTTGAGTATTTCTGCTCGTATAAAACGGTCACATAAACTTTTTTTGTGTGTATTAAGTAAAAAAGTGGAATTAGAAGACTGATATGAGAGACAGGAGATGTCTTGGTGCATGTCGGGAAACTATGCTGCTGCTCAGTTGAGGAATTAAACAAACAGTCCACAACCCCAGTTTCTATCCAAACACTGCAGCTTCTTTTTTGCATCTGTGAGCCAGAAGCAGCAGAATTCTGTAGTTTTAATCCTGAAACCTCCACTCGTGCACAAGGTTTGTTTAGTTCGACCAAGAGCTGCAGACTTTTCTGAAGGAAACGACCTTCGACTTTGTGTTTCCAGTCGTATAAATGAGCCTCTCTGTCCTGTTTTTGACCGTCAGGTTGGTCCTTTTCAAACTGTGAATGCTTTAATTAGCCGACACAACAATCTCGAGCCGCTCCTGTGAAGATGTTTCTTACCAACGACGTTCGCCATGAGCTCCTCGATGTTGTTCTCCGCCCAGGCCCAGGGTCGAGAGCCCAACGTGTGGCCGTGGCAGCCCCTGGAAAAGAGAGCGTCAGCGCAGAGCCACAAAGCCTCCACATGGTGGACGACAAACGTGAGCATCAACATACATTTTGGCCCACTTCTCCAGCTCCTCCTCCAGGTATCTGCGGGCCATTTTGGGCTGGAGCCCCAGAGAGTTTCCCACCAGGTAGATGCACTCCTGGGTGCCGTCGACCAGCGACAGATCGGCTGCACAGACATCAGAAAGTCACTACTGTGGCACAATCGGACAGATATTACAAACCGAGTGTCTCTGACTCACAGGGAGGCAGATCTGCGATTTTGGGCACCAGGAAATTGTCCCTGAGATGCCTCAGCTCGTCGCCTTCGTCGAAGTAAGCGGCCACTTGCGCCGACGTCAGGCTGCAGCCCAGCGAGGCCGACACTCGCTGCACGACTTCTCTGGGACTTAAACCCACAAACTCGTCCATAGCGGTGGAAACGGTGGGCTGGCGGCCTGCACAGAGAGCAGAAGGATGGTGATTAAAACCTGAAACATCACTTTGTTCGGCGTTTTACTTTGAAATATCAACTGCAAACTGCATCTTCAAAGGTGAATTCTGGTTTATTTTATGAACAGACCAGCGGGTGTAAAAGGCAAATTGTCTGAGAAATAAAATCATGGAAGTGTCACCGTTTATAGGAATAAGAAGCTGCTGAAACGAAAACAATCATCAGACTCTTAACTGTCTGACAGGAAATCATGTCACTCCATCAAAATCACTGCATTCAAAACGCACCATTTAAAGATGTCGTAAAAATAAAAAACCATTGACGAGTCAGAAACTGTAAAAAGCACCAACAGATTTTTAACTTAATGTGACTTTCAGGCTGGAAAATTCACCAAATCGAAGTTTAAAATCGGGATATTTTACCAAAAATAAACTTTATTCGTCTCAATTTTTAAAAAATCGCCAAAAAAAAACTTAATTAACAAAATTCTGTGAAAAACAATAAATTCTGCCACGAGCAAGTTATCTGTGAGCAACAGTCACATGCTCAGAATTCAGGGACGTTAAAGAGTCTTTTTTCACGATTTATGGCTTCATAAAAGAAGTTCTTGCTCCTTCGTCATGCTTGTTCTGTTTCCACAGAGGAGCAGGATTCTGGATGAAAAATGACAGCGAGTTAAAATGTCCAGAAAACAAAGAACACCCAGAACCGCTCAGGGTTAATGTGTCCGTTAGCTTCCCTGCAGATGTGCAAAAAACTGTCTGCATCATTCAAAACATTTGTTGTCCAGTTTTAAAGACGCTAAACTCAGAAGTCTTCAGTAGATGAATACACGCAGGTGATGGATGTAGATCCCAGACGCATTGAGCAAAATGTTCTGTTTAAACTTCCGCCTGAAAACTAATGATTTATATCAAAATGAGAGTTTCTAGTCGCCCCGATGACACATAACTCAAAGTACAAAGCCAGCATGACCCACTTTAACGGGAAACTTTATTTGTTTTCTACTTTTCTGTCCTGTGACACGGCTTTTACCTTTTTAAATCATCAGTACGAATACAGAGTTAAAGTTAAATTCAATAGTGACCATTTTTGTTATTTTTCAAACACATGTGGGAAGATTTGCACAAAAAACTTTCTCCACTTTCTGCTCCACGTGGTCTAAAACACACATTTATGTCCAGAAGGAGGCCACACGCTTCCTTCAAAACGACCTCCGTTCACTCCAAACATCAGCAAGATTTCATCTCTTCAGGTAAAAACACTAATTACCTTCAATTTTCAAAGCACTAAAACACTGAACAGAGCCCTTTAAACGGCTGTTATTTACGTCACAGCCACTTTTAACTGCACATACACAGAGCTTCGTGTTGGTTTAACTTGGATATAAGTCCAGTTCTCCTTTGCATAACCACAGCCGGTTACAGTTGACCTTTTTCTGCACGCGTCAGCGCTTGTTCTGAGCTGAAAGCTGTAACTCACAGTCGGATCAGTCGGTCTGTAGATGAGCTCCCTCTCCGCTCACAACCTCCTCACTGAGTGAATCCTTCGGCCCTGGAAATGCTCTTTAGCCCCTCTGCCCGCACTCGCAGGTTAATCATTGTCCAGCCAATAACCTGTAAACCTGTCGTTGGCTTGATTAACCGACTAATTGCTGAGCTTTCTCCTGTGCCTGCAGGCGCACCAGAGCCCAGTTCCCCATTTCTGTGGTTTCAGTTTTTTTTTAAAAAATCCAAAGTGTGAAGTTCCACGTGAACATGTGATGTGTCATGGTGCTTTCACTACACGCCGGACAAGGCTGCAGGGATTTGCTCCCATTCAGATCAAACCGGAGCTTTGTTTTGTGCACAAAGGGACGAACGGCTGCAAAGAGGCCTGAAACAACAGCTTTTATTAGAACAGCAATGTGCTCTTTAATGTCAATATGAAGCTCAGCTCACTTCACTTCAGCAGCTCGTGGTTCATCGTAAAGCTGCAAGTTTTTATTTTAGCATTTTATTGATTATAAATGAACATTTTTATTTACTTTTATGACCTGAAATATTTGCCTCAATCAATTTATGTGCCTCTAGATGCACAAACTGCTACAGAAAAATGAATTAGAGGCTTCTGGGATTTTTATTATCTCCTGGAGCAGGGGTGTCCAATCCTGGTCCTGGAGGGCCACAGTCCTGCATGTTTTAGATGTTTCCCTTCTTCCAACACACCTGATTCTAATGATCAGAATCGTTATCAGGCTTCTGCAGAGCTGGATGATGAGCTGATCATTTGAATCAGGTGTGCTGGAAGAGAGAAACATCTAAAACATGCAGGACTGTGGTTCTCCAGGACCAGGATTGGACACCCCTGATCTAGATGCACAAACTGCTACAGAAAAATGAATCATGAGAGGCTTCTGGGATTTTTATTATCTCCTGGAGGAACACACATCTCAACAGACAGACGTCAAATCCATGTTGTGCTATATCCTGTTTTCTCTCTATCCTTCACTCACACAAACACCTTCTAGTTTGGATTTAGCAGAAACTTAAACCTGCCTGTTCACTCTGGCCTGGACCTGCAGTTTGTCAAATAACCGCCCACATGTGAAATCTGTGCCTCAGCGAGTTCACATTTTGTTGTGTTTCCGCTAGATGGAGGCAAAGTGTCGTGAGCGGCATCGTGTTCAGATAACATGCAATCTGGCTGCACGCAGGAAAGATTACAGCAAGAAAAAGTACAAACAATATGTCATAAAAGCAAAATAAAACACTGTTTATAGAGACGAACATGTCTGGTGGAATCAAACTGTCCAGTTTTCTTGGGAGTAACTTCATGATTGCACATCCTTGAAAACTTTATTCTCATCTTTTCTATATTTGTCTGACGAATGTGCATCAGAGTTGTCTTTTATTTTTATTATTTCAGATACAAAGAGCTGCAGAAACCTGAGCCAGACTGACATTTTCTAGCAGCACATGCACACAGAGCAAATTTACTAGAAGGAAAAGTTTTTATACTTTTGAGTTTTTCAAAAATTGGGATAAAATGAGGGGGAAAAATGGAAAGATTCATAAAAATGCCAATTTATTTTTTACATTTGTAGCATGATTGTTATTTGTAGATCCAACATTATGACCTTTACATATTATTAAATATGTAGGAATACAAACAAATAGATACTACAAATAATACTGCAGATAATTCCATTATGAGAGTAGTTTTAATTTATTATTTAATGCAAAAAAAATTTAAAATACTGTTGTAAAACTATTAATTTTGCTTGTAATTGCTTTGATTGTAAATTTCAGATTATATGAAGCATAATATAAGATTTTAAATGTAAATTTACATAAACATCTCGGCTATTACATAGATTTATTTTGTCTGTCTTTGTATTTTTAGAGATATTTTTGAACAAAATTTAGCTTTTAATTGTAATATTGGTATTTAAAAAACAAGATTATAAAACTGGATGCTGTGTACTTTTGGCGCAATATCCTCCTTCATCTATTTATACTATTTATTAAATTGTTCTGCATTGTTGTTTTCTGCCAACAACGCATATTTAGTTCATTATAAAGGTCAGAATCTGAAGAAAACTTCAGAAAATCACTTGTAATATTGCAATAATAGAACTTTTTCTTGCTTTCTTGTGTACTAGCTCCTGTTTAATCACTATATTAGCAGTAACACTATTTTTATGCAGATGCTCGGAGACGTTCTCGGGCTGAAAACGGTGATTTCCACAACTTAAACATGTCGATTCCTCACCTGCTTTTCTTGGTCTTCTGCCTCATTATTCACCTCCTCTTCACAGCCCACTAAGCCGTCTGCTTTCATTCCATCACATTAGCTGCAGCCGCTGCAGAAGTCCACATTTTCCATCCAGGAACCTGCAGTAACACACACACAGTCTGTCATGGTGCTGCTTTATTTTACACATTATGTATTTTACACACAATAAAGCTTTGATTTATGCAGTTTATCTGTTCTGGTCACTTGCTATTCTTTTGCTGCGTTCACTTTTTCACTTGTAAGCTGTGTATTTATATAAACACATGCACATATGCTCCTGCTTTAATGTGTTTGTATGCCTTAAATGTGTTAAACATTATTAATTATGTTTGATTTATTCACTAATTTCTAATCTCCTGTAACTACAGCATGTAAAATAATCCACAATGTCACCATTCAATGAATGTTTGGTCACAATAAAACATATTTTCTTGAAGGTTTATGATTTTGTGTGTTTTTAACAGATATTAAGATTATCGTCAAACGTACAGTTATTCAGTGTTTATCAAACAGTTACGACCTCGTACGGCGGCTTGTTTAACTTGTGTTGAGGTTAAAAACAAGCATACACACAATTAGATCCGTAACATCCCACCGTCTGGGTAAAGTCTCCTAATCAAACTCGACAGACTGCGAAAAGCCAAAGCTGGAGGTCTGGAGGCCTCACTGTACTCTGACCTACAGTAAGAATGTGAAGCCTCGGTGTTTTGACTCAGAGTGAGGCCTTCTGCCATCAAGCATCTCTAGAAAACCACTAAACCATCATTTACACCATGACTGAACAGCTTTTGCTGCACTAGTTCAGGGGTTTTAAGAGGACCCGAGCAGGTGCCTTGAGGAACTCCTAAACACTGCACTGTTTACTGGAACTTAGAAAACTTATTGTATGCTCATTATCAGATGTTCTACTCACTTTGGACATTGAATGTGAGCTGCTTGAGGTCATAAATAAACCAGAATTATGTGTTTGACCTCAAGCAGCAGGTAATTGTTTCATTATGAATGTCAAATGCAACCATTTATATTTTAAAAAAAACAGCCTGGTTGATCTGTTTAAATGTTACTGCTGGTTCAGCTATTATCGTAGACAAAAGATTTGATAAAGTGGCAACTTCTCAATCACAAGGCATAAAACATAACATACTTTATCATCTGTTTTTCTCTAAATGGGACCATAACGTACAAAATGAACAACATGCCATCTTAAAAGGGGCTTGAAACTAGCAACAGAGACTATAAAGTCATTAGAGAAAGGTTTACTGAGGTGGCAAATGCAGAGAGAAGTTGGGTCATTTTCTTCTTCTTTATGCAACCAGGGAAGCCACCCCCTGCTGGCTATTAGAAATAACATCTGTCAAGTTTGAAGTTCAAAGTTTTGTTCGAAAATCTGGCATAAAATTAAATATGTCACGGTTTATGTAGAAGTAGTTTTCTGATTTTAGGTACACTTGAAAACTACTGTATTAATGTCTACACCTGCCAGTGGGCCATTATGATAAGAGCAGGTTTAGTGATATCCTAATTTCTCTACACAAGAAACTTGATATTCTCTGTAGTTAGGTGGAAAAAAATATTGGCATATATCAGCCATCAGCCAAAATGTATTAGGAAAGTATTGGAATATAGGATGTAATATGCTGCCTCCCTATTCGGTATCTGCTAATTTGACTGGCTAAAAAACACATTACATTACTGAAGCTAAGAGTGATCTGATTTTCATCTATATTTGTGCTATATCAATTTAATTTTGCACAAATAATACATAAGAATATTCCTGGAGAAACATCTCTGTTTACTGCTAGGAATTAGAAAAAAGAAAAAAAAAGTGACCCCAGGAAGATTCCCTGAGGAACTCCATTAAAACAAAATCATTAATCTGAGTGATTGTTCTGATGATGTTGTTTTTTAGGATTTATGACTCGTTCTGCTTTTAGGATGTCTTTAAAGTTCACCTCAGATGTGACCTTTAGGGAATATTAGGAAGCAGCCGTGCACCTTTGACCCGTCCGAGTTTAAAGATGCTCAATAATCGTGTTCGGTTGCGGATCGTTTCTCTCAGAGCAAATATTTGAAACATGAGCTCTTCATCTGGAAGCAATGATCACCAATTAGCTTCTTGTAGGCTCTCTAAGTAAAACAGACATAAACAAAACAACCCGTAAATATGTTGTCCTCCCACTGCACTCTTATAAATGATGTGAACACGTCACGGCAGTGAACAAGTTTGAGCCTTTTTCCAATAGAAGGTTCGTATAGCAGAGCGTGTCCAGACTGGATGAGGTGTGAAGACAAGTTTGGAGAAGGCAGACGTGGTCGAAGTGACTCACGCTGCTCTCTGCAGAAACAATGTGGTCGCAAGATGTTTGGGGGCATCGTAGCTGCCGACAAGCCTCTTGCATGTTCTTCCCCTTGTTTTTCTCACAGTAAAGGAGGATGTGCGACATCTGGAAGCGCTCAGGAGGCCGAGCTGAAACCTCCTCCTCCCCCGGTCGGTTCTCAGGGCGCAAACTTCAAAGCAGGCGGCAGCAGATAATGTTTTCTCTGAGGACGCCTCAGCGACGAGCCACCAGCGGAGCGGTGCAGCCCAGTGTGGACGGCGTGGCTCTTGGGCAGGTGTGAAAAGGCCGAGTTAGAGGCCAAACGGAGGTCTGAGGGGAGCCGGGTGGAGTTTTTAAGCTTCTGATTTCTGTCCTCGGTGTGGTTCCAGGTTTTAGAGTTTGTTGCTCACCACCAAGTGAGCTCTTCAATATGACAAAATAAAAGAGATTTTACTGCATCA